TGAAATTGTATTTGTAGAATAGTCTATAATTGTTGCATAGATCCCTGCATAACCTTTTCCATGAACGCAGGGGCGTGACAAAAAATAGTATGTGTGGCTCGCGCGGGAAGGCCATTTMAGTCTTGGGCGAAATGCGGCACACGACGCCCGCGACTGAAATGGCTCACTTCCCGCCCTTGCCACACAATATACTATTGCGTACGAATTCCCGTTTTTCCTTAATTTTTTTTTGTTTTTCCCGATGCTTTTGAAAACTACTGGGAATATCAAATTTAGACCTCCCCAATGCACCAACTAGATTCACTTTCCAACCGGAAAAGCTAATGAGGTTGAAAATCAAAGCATTATTTTGACAATTTATCGTATACACTGACAAAAAAAAAAAAATGTATTTATTTWAAAAAAATCACACTTCATTGTAAAATTAATACATTTATCGCCACGCTCAGAATCTAAAAAAGGGGATGAGCATGTTTTGTGAATCACCGCCTATATATTATAATATATTAGACACGTATATAATTATTAATTATTATAAATATTGTTAATTACGATCACGCACTTCTACATACGTCCAATTTCATATTATCATAGTTAATATTTATCCAAAATTTATTAGACAATTTATCCAATTTATGAACCAGTACACGTTGAAAAGCTGAAATTTTTTTAAATATTTTAAAAGATGAATAATAATATATATAAATAAAATTTGATGTATCATTGATATAGTTTCATTACATAAATAACCGATTGGAAATATAATATTATTACTGATAAATGATAATTGATATAAAAAAAAACAAATATCAATACATAATAAATATAGACGAATACTCTGTTCTTACTCAGAAGCATAGGCGTGCGCAGGCTTTTTTTCCGGGGTATGCAGAAGGATGCCACTGGTGCCATGGCTGATACAGGGAGGGGGATAAGGGAGATCCCCTCTTTTAGGAGCCACCGTAACTGGTGGCACCGTATTCCGGCCTTGACTGGCTCCCCCTGAAATTTATTTTTAGTACCTATGTACAATTCTGGTAAAATAGATACATAAATATTGAAATGCCTTACAATTTAATTTAAAAAATTTTATTAAAAGTCAAATATAATAATATAAATACAAAATAAAAATAACATAAATAACTTAAAATAGTTAAAAACAGTTTATCACACAACTTGAAAAAAAAAACATTATATGAATAAAAACAAAAAAATAAATTTAATAAAAATTATAATTTATCATAACATCATTCTGCGTTTGGTAGAGGTTTTGAAATCATCAATRATGTCTTCGGGATTTAAATCAACAGCCATTTCTTGATCTACAGTTACAAACATCAATGCATTTAATCTTTCTTGGAGCATAATACTTCTTAACTTAGATTTGACTAAGGTTAATTTAGAAAATGATCGCTCACATAGTCACATGTACCTACAGCTTGGGACTGGTATAACTGCAAACTTCTTTAGGATTTTAGTAAATTCTTCAAAAATATTTTGTTTATCAAGACCATTGAAGCCAAATGTAAAGCATTTTAATGCCCATAAGTTAACTTCAATTTGTTTTGTTATTGTTTAAGGTTTTTGTAACAAATTTATTTCAGCTACCAATGCATCTGAGTCAGAAGTAGGTACCAATTATATTTTCATTAGACAGTTCATAAAATTATAGAAATATAAATGTCGAGTCAGGTAGATACTCCAGTCATACACAGGTTTGACAAACGTAATAAATAAGTAATCCAATTTTCAAATTTGCATCAATATACCCAACGTTTAAATTATTGTACACCAGTAATTAGCCTATTCTTAGTAATAGGTTGCCTATAGAATATGGGAAACCTATTAATAAAGTGCTCTTTGTTCAAGTACCTACTTTTAATTATATTACGTTACCTGATACCTTTAGGCTATAACATATATTATTATATTACATTAATATATTATTACTTATCTTTTATTWTATTTTAGTTGTTATATGTACAATTAAACTAATTAAATTATTTTTATTAATACGTATAGCTAGTTATGATTATATCGCATGTTTGACTTACATCATTAATTAAAATAAATAAATAAAATTTATTTTAAAATGATAAAAATGAATAACTGTTATGAAAATAATGCACATTCCTGATTATGAATTATATGACATACCTAACTCATATCCTTCAAGCCAATAGTATAAGATATATATATTTTTTATTAAAATTAATAATACTAGTTATTATGCATTGCACAGATTGTAGGTAGATCAACCATTTATTTAAAAAAATTAATTAAAAATTGAAGTTGTATTATTTATTTATATAAAATATTAAATGACATTATAGAGTGGTTTAGAATGTTTAGATGCAATCATATTGTGTATCATTAGTCATTATTTAATAATTATCGAAAATCGAAATACATACTCGTAGTTTGTTTTAATATGTATAAAACCAATTTTTTAAGAAAAATGTATGAAAATGATCGATGTATTTTGTCACTTTTATTTGATAAAAAAAAAGCCTAGTAACTTAATGTAATCCAATTGACGACGGTCAAATATATCAACTGAGGGAGATTTATTGAAGTTATCATTGTAAATATCTGAATGTCTAAACTTTCTCGTTTCTCAGCAAAAATTAGAATAAAAAAGACAATAATTATCTATACAATAAAACTAAGTAACTTATTGATTTTATGGTGATCGAAACTGTTTTGAATATTTTATACTTGGGTAAATTCAGTAATAGTTAATCTATACATTTGTATGATTTTAATTTATTCGTTAATACATAATATATTCCTATTAGCCTATTCATTGGGTAATAGGTTAATAAACCCAATGCTGCGGTTCTCCATGACTTTTGCTCCAAATAACTGAAAAAAAAAACATTATAAATTAAATAAAGGTAATATAATAATATAATAAATCCTACACTTAACCTACACTGACAAACCACCTCAGAACGATACCCACTTGCCCGTCTTGCCCACATTTTTTTTTAAATTGCTTATTGTATATATCATGTATTTTATGTAATTTAATTTTGAAACTTTTTTACTGACTAAAAATCATTTTATCATTACTAATAGTAAAAAAACTAGACATTCTCAAATGCATAATATAAGGAGCTTAAAATAAGTTTAAATATTTTAACATTTCATTATGTACAGAAAATAGTAATTTAAGACATAATAAAATGTTTCAATTTCTTTCGTTAATATTTTAAAGTAACGATTATAGAAAAAAAAATGAMKAAATATTTTTATAAATTATAAATTTTTGTTATTTTGTAGAATTTTGTAGAATTGATCATCAAAAACTTATATAAATGAGATTTTGATTATGTGTTTCAAATAAATAAAAACATTTTTAACTCGATTGTTTCATGAAAATATATGAAGAATATTTGATTACATATTATTATACATATATTATTAATCCATTCAGAAAGATATTAGGAAAAAAGTCTCCGGAAAAAAATTCCCCGGTAAGAAAGTCACACGGATAACAAGTCTCCAAATTAATATTTTATCGTAGATTAGTATTTATACACATAATTAGGTACATTTTAAATTTATTGAAAATAATATAATATCTTAAACATATAATGGTATTATTTAAAAATATAAAAATGTAATTATTCAAATATAAAAGATCTGAAAATAATATAATAGTATAATACCACAAGGCAAGAATGGCATTGGCTGAATTAGAAGAAATTAATCGGAAAAAACAAAAGCTGGTAAAAAAATTGAAGTTCGATTGAACATGTTATGTCGACGCTTTGATGAAGACAAATCTGCAGATGTTCCTAATTTTTTTAAAGCAAATAGGTCAAAATATAAGAAACAGATATTTTATATTTGAACAAATGCATTTTCATATTTTTAAATAATATTATTACGATTTAATAATACGATAATTAATAATAATATTACGATTGATTATTATCTACGATAAAATATTAATTTGGAGACTTTTTTTCCGTGGGACTTTTTTACCGAAGCTTTTTTCCGGGGATGTTTTTTCCGTTTGCCATTCAGAAAAAACTGATAAGTCCCATCTAGTCCTGATATTGGAATAACTATATAGATGAAATAATATAGGTTTGCTACTTATGGACGTACTTTTCCCAAACCTTTTAGAAGTCTCTAAGAGGACTGGGGAAATTTCAAACGTACCTATAAAAAAAGTAAAAAAAAATTTCGGGGCTGAAACGTCGAAAGAAATTTTCAATAAATTAAAATATATTTTTTTTGGGAGAGATAGTTCTTGAAAAGTTTTTATAGACCATAATCCCACCACACTATATTTAAATAATTCCTTTGGAAACAAATTATTTTTTTCAGCCCACAAATAGAAATGTATACAAATTCCATATTAAATGAAAATGTTTTTTTTWAAATCATGMTGCAGGAGGGAGTCGAACGTTACATGTAGAAATATGGGAGAGAAAAACCCAACGAGAATAAGCCAGTGAACATTCAAATATTTTTGACAAAAATCTATACAAAAATAATTAATTATACAATAGTTATTTTTTTTTTTGCGTTCTAAAGATCCATTAGCAGTTATATTCGATCGGTAATATATAATACACATTACTGATAGCATTGTTTGAATAATAAAAGAAAATCCGATAAGATTTATAAAACGCTGTTAAAATAAGTGTTTTCTTACTTATATTGTTTAAATGTGTACCTATGAGTCATGCTCTAAAACTAGATTGTAGGAAAACTATATAAATTATCTTCACCGATTTTATTATTGTAGTGATCCGCAATATATGTGTGGATAGATATTAAACTTTTTTTTTATTTCCTAAAAAATAATGGCTAAACTTGCAATTTTGATAACCGTAGTATTACTTAGTGTTTACCTTACAGAAGAAGCACATTTCTTAAGTAAAGATTATGTAAAAAAAATTAACAAAGTTGCTAAGACTTGGAAGGTAAGATTTACGTATTTTTTATTTAATACACAATATTAATTTAACTTACTATGAATGCATGTACATAATAACATAGTAATATATTATGTATGTAAATGTGTAGGTCATAAATATTAATTTTTAAAAAGTATATATTACGTAAAAGTTATTTTTATAAGATTTTATTTAATACAATTAAATGGTTTTACGCGCAAGTAAACTAATCTTATACATCAAATGTAAAACAAAATAGACGATTAKACGTGATGCATAACCCTCAATAAACAAAAAAAAAAGCGGGTAAGTCGTGGATGTCACTCTGCTGTTCAGTAGGTTACAAGTGGGTTACTGTAACGGATGGAATTAAATTTGAATCCAATGATATTATATCATTGTATAGAAAAAACGATTCTGAGCGGAGACGGATTATCTATCTAGGATATATTTCAGATAATTAAAAATTTTCAAATCAAAGAATATTTTTTATGAATTTTTAACATAAAATAATTTGCGTAGTTTCGTGATTTTTACGTTTATTGTCAAAATTTAAACTTTAAATGCTATAAAAAAAAAAATCGTGCCTATGTATTTTTAATATTTTTCAACTGCTATTGTAACAATATGTTTGGAAGCATTGTATTAAATGTACCTATTAAATTTTAAAACTTTTCTACCCAACAAATAAATTTTTATTGATATTTATAGAAAAAAAAAAACTAAAAAATTTGAAAATTTAAAATGTCAGTAAACAGCTCAAAACAAATCAAAATATTTTGAAAATAAAATATACTTGTATAAATATTCGGTGAAAATTTTATGTATCTATGGTCATTTGTTTTAAAGTTACATCAAAAACCAAAATCGATTTGATCGAAAATTGATTGTGTGTAAAAATTCCTTTTTTTTAAATTTAATTTTTAGTTTGTTTATTCTGATTATTTAGAAAAATATTGAGAATTTTTTACTTTTGACCCCCCAAAGTACCAACTAGATTCAGTTTCTGATCAAACGAGGTACAGGAGTCGAAAATCGAAGCACTTTTACAGTTTTTTTACTGCCCCAAAACGTGATGACAGATAAAAAAAAAAATAAAAATACAAAAAAAAACACACATCATTGTAGAATCAAATATAAATAAAATACAATTATTCATCATAGTAAAACTATATATAGCATACTTATAAAAATAACATTTTTATAACACTATAAAATTGTTTTATTTTTATATTTTAGGCTAAACAAAATTTTCGTGAAAATACTCCAAAAGAACTAATCGTTCGGTTATTAGGCTCTAAGCGTCTCTTAGACGTTTTTAAAAGTCCTATCAAGAAAAATGATAATTTATACATGGATGATAGTGAAGTTCCAGAATTTTTCGACGCAAGATCACAATGGAAACATTGCAAAACAATTGGGAAAGTCCGTAACCAAGGAAATTGTGGATCCTGTTGGGTAATGAAAGAAGACTGTTGTGCATACATTTATTGCACAAACACCCATCAAAAACACTAGATACGTTGTACTATAATAATATTTTGTTAAATTAATGTATAGGCTCATGGTACCACTGGAGCGTTTGCTGATCGACTATGCATAGCGACGGATGGAGAAGTCAATGAACTCTTATCCGCTGAAGAGCTGACATTCTGCTGTAAGCGATGTGGTGATGGATGTAATGGAGGTTATCCATTGAAAGCTTGGAAATATTTCAAAAAACACGGCGTTGTCACCGGAGGCAACTACAACACTACCGAAGTAAAATAATAAATACATTTTAAATTTATAATTATATTATATTACATTAATTTTGGTGCAAACCAATGGGGGAGTAGTACACACAACAACATTTTTTTAATTCATTTTAATAACTGTAAATAATGACCAATTGATCTGAAAAAAATGTGATAAAAATTTGAGGGTGATGGAGACTGAATTCCCATGTTAGTAGGTACTAAATAATTGTACTTCCTTATTAAATGATGAATAATATTATTATTTTATTATTTCTCCAGCATAAAAATTCCTCTAAGTCGATCACGTCCCCTGCATTACATTTACAGTGTTCCACTTAGACACAGTAAGACACCTACTGTATAACAGATCGGTACTCTGCACTTGCCACACAATTCTTTATACCTATAAATGGTAATGAATATCTTTTTCATAATTAGTATTACAACTCGAATTTGTTGCTTACTTATATATTCAGAACATTTTAACAAACTAATGATGAAATGGCTTCATTAAGATATCAGAAATGAGTTGTTCCTGATTAATTTTTAGAGTTGGCCAAACCACCGACTTTAGCCYTTCTTCTTTTATAAATCCCTACGACCCTGCCTGTTTGAACTTTATCGAAAGCCTGTATAACAATAGTCAATAAGTAATTTGAATAATTTAACAGAAAATATGTTAATACACATTCTACTTTAGAATGGTCTTCAAATTTAAATTATCGTTAATTCATAATATATCATAATATGTAGGGATGCCAACCGTACAAAGTACCACCTTGCGTGAGAGACGACGAGGGACATAATTCATGCTCGGGACAGCCTACCGAACGTAATCATAAATGTTCGAAGAAATGTTATGGTGACACAACAGTAGATTATAAAAAAGGGCATTACAAAAGTAAATCTAAATAACCACACTCAAACATTTCTTGTAAGACTGATTGTTTGATTTTTTACAAAATTAATACTACTTCGTATGTATATCCAGCGAAAGATGCGTATTATCTCAGCAACACCAGTATGCAGAAAGASACGATGACGTATGGACCCATTGAAGCGACGTTCGATGTTTACGATGATTTTCCGAATTACGAATCCGGTAATCAACTTAATATTTCATAACACTAACATAAGTTACCAAGACTGGTACATTTAGTTATTAATAATATATTCATAATAAATAATTTTTCATGATGAAAATTTCATAATATTCAAAAAATTATTCCACCATGTATAATATAATCGATATTTTTTATAGGAGTTTACCAAAGGACCGAAAATGCATCGTACCTAGGGGGACATGCAGTTAAAATGATCGGATGGGGCGTAGAGGAAGGTACACCGTATTGGCTGATGGTCAATTCTTGGGGTGAAAATTGGGGAGCCAATGGGTTGTTTAAAATACTTAGAGGCACAAATGAATGTGGAATTGAAAGTTCGTGCACAGCAGGCGTGCCTTTGGTTTAAGACACCAACTATTTTATAGTGAATGAAAATACACATTAATACTATTAGGTACTTACCTACTAWTCAACGATTTTATTAATTTATTTACACAAAATATACATTTTGTCAACCTATAATGAACCAGATATAAATAATATAATTACATTAACCGAATTTAAGGCCATAAATATTATTTGGTTTTTTATTTATTTATTTACTTTTACAACAACACTAACTTGTAATAACGAGATGTGGTATTTTATGACTTGTGTGCAGTACAAAATTTTAAATATGTAGTACCTACCTAAAAATTGAATATTTGTTTAATCATAAATAAGTATTCGAGAAAAAATAACAAAAAGCCTTTATAACCTCACTATCTCAAGCCCTAGGCTAAAACGAAATTGCGTGAAAAATAGTTATTAGGTAATACACATATTGTCGTAATTTATATCGTATATTATAGTAATATATTACTATTTACGTTGATCACGGCTAATGTATGCTGTCATATTGAGTGTGGTCTAAACGAATATGCAGACTAAAGTTTTTCTTACGCGTCGAAGTATGGCCTAACCGGACCCCAGGTAGTCGACGAGTGACACAAATAGGAAGAGGGCCGGACTCCATGGACGACTGGTTCAACCCACAGAGGATGACAAAAACGACTCGCCAAATCCCTAATCGGTAACTCTCATATCATATAAGTAATTTATAATWAAAAAAAACTGTCATAATTGTAATAATAATTATTATTATTATTATTACTAAATAAATAAATTGTAATGCTTATATTATACTAATATAAATATAAAAATTAAATAAAAAACCATTTTAGGTGCATTTTATAGTATAATTTTTGCCATTTTAAATGCATTTTTATGGTTTGTAGTGTGTCGTATACACCGACGTACATAAATAAAACGAACAAATTAATTATAAGCACTTTTATTAAACATTTTGACGTCCAGAGGCGATCGAGTCACACAATCACAACCTGGCTCTGAGTGCTCTGACACTGGTGGTCAGTGGTAATCGAGTCACACGAGTACCACCAATAACTGACCCCTCTTCTGTCTTCACATATTCCTTAAATATAAATTTTACAATCGAAACACTATCGGTAATATCGATATTAAGTTTAATCTACTTACATTATACTTACCGACTATGCTTAAAATTATACTAATTGTTATTGTATTACGCAATTACATAATTGTTTTGGTATTTTACCTGTTACACAATATGGATTGTTTACTTAAACTAGTTAATAGTTCTAATTGTAATATTTCTTATATATTATGCCCTAAATATCACACACCGAGGTCGAGTACTCGAGACCTCTTAAACATAAACAAACTGCACTCCAAACGATGCAAGAGAGCGACAGCTTAAAGCGGACACGTACGGTTGGTGGAAACGCTGAGTAGGATTCCATCAGTTGAAGTTAGATGAAACAGCTAAAGAGCTAACAGCGTTTTGCAATACAACCGGGAAATATTAATTTAAACTTATTCCAATGGAAATTTTCAATGGTCCTTGTAAATATCAAGAAGCTATAGATAAAACTATATCTAACTTAAATTAAAAAATTAACGTAAATTATATTGATAATTGCACATGTTTYGAAAAACTTTTTGATGACCACTTATATTCTTTAAAATTAACTCTGGAAAGATTTAAACAACATAATTTAAAATTAAAATTTTTAAAACGTATATTTGGGTACAAGGCGTTAAACATTTTAAACAATGTAATTGATTGCAAAGGTATCGGTCATACAGAGACAGATTTGGGACTTAAGCAATTACACAAGTAAGTTCTCAGACTAACATAAATCAATTAGGTACGTAGTTATTTAGTATTGCCAAATTATTTTCGCCGGTGCATCCCAAATTTTGCTTAAATCGATTTTCCTTTAACTGAGTAAGAAAAAAAAACAAGAAAAGACAGCATAAAATGGAAAAAAATTAATGAACTACAATATAAATTTATAGTGCCACTAATACTAATTACTACGGAGATGCTGACACTATTTTAGTAACAGTGTCGTATTTATTGAGTTTAGGTGTAATTTTACAACAGAGAAATGATAATGGTAATATTCATTCGGTTTCTTTTGGTGCAAAAAACTGTTACCTGCACACAAACAACTATTCAGCATTAGAACTTTAGGTTTATCGGCTTTGTTTTTTGAATGCCCTCGTTTTAGAMAATACCGGTATGATAAACAATTAACACTGTTTGTATAGACCACAACAATTTAGTAAGATTTCGAAATTAAAATCAAATTCATATGACGTATTAAATCGTATAAGAACAAAACTATTTCAAAAACAGATCCAATGATGTTGATAATGAAAACCAGTGGCGTATTTTGGGGGGGGGTGTCCTCCGTGTCTTGACACCCCCCGACATTTAAAAAAWAGTCCTAATATATTGGACATTAGTGTTGTCATTTATTTTATAGTATACTATTTTTATCAAATKTAAAACTTCTTGTAAATTCCTAACATATTAATTTGTTAAAAAAATTAATTCAATGTCTTTTTACATTAGTAAATAATACTAAAAATTTTGTTTGTGAGGTACAATAAATGTTGACACCCCCCGAGAAATCGCCCAAAATACGCCACTGATGAAAACGACAAAACGTGAAAACATTAAGACATACTAACCACATTTAAAACAAAAAAACCACCATTGCAGAATCAATAAAACGTTTGGTTTTAAAGTATTTCTATCTGATTAATGATTATATGGTATAACTAATTAGAGTAATTAGACATTTTTTTTGGTAGATTTTTGGTAATTATTAGTGTAGCTAGTTTTTTTTATAGCTGAATTCATAATAGCTAATTATAGCTAATAAGTATGTCAAAATTATTGAAATTATCACATAAATCATAACATAAACTATAATATACACCTAGTATATACCGAACTCATCATACACTTTATACTACGTGTAAACAGTCATAACTTATATGATTACTATAACTATTGACTAATGGAAACTTAGTTATTATAATTTATTTTATTAACTGTTAAATGTCAAGTGTTTAAATAAATARAGAAAATTTACGTCGGAAATAAATTAGGACTGAACAATATTTACAAACACACTTGACAATAAAAGAATAGATATCAACACGTTTTTCGATAATTTATTTAGATACAAATACAAAATACATTCTTTACTTC